CAAATGTTTTAGATACAACTCTGATACTAACTCTTTCAGTACAGGATCAGTGACCTCCACTTTACTAGAATCCCAGTTATCAACAATAGACTCCCATGAGATTAGTTCCCTCAACAGCAAAACGTGTATATGACAAAGGGAACAGTATGTAATTATGTTGGACACCTCTCCCACAATTTTTTTAAAAATCTTCTCACTTGGGTTTATAGAAGCCCAACAGTAGACAAAACAAGTAGATGAAGCAGTAATTCAGAATAAAATTTTAATTACAGCTTACTGGCAGAACGTTAGTTTTGTGACCTAATAGCAGACACTATAATCACCACTAACTACTATCCTTTGATGTAGGTTTAATGCTACTTGTATTGAGAGGTTTGCTGGAGTTAATTTTTATAATAAAATTGTCTTATTCAGTTCAAGTTAAAAGTGTGTAACAAACTTTTGCCTAATGACTAGACTATATCTCTATAAAAATAGATATCACTAAAATAATAACATTTGCAAGCCAGCCCTCTATAAAAAAGGAACCAGACTGAAGATCCAGACTGTTTCCATTCTTTTGCTGCTGGAGGTCAGAAGGAACTGAAGTTGCTAGAATGTCATGTCTCCTTTTATTGCAATGCCACTGCAACATTTGGAAACAATGAAGAGACAAGAAGAAATGTGAGAAAGCTCTAACACTTCCAGCAGAAGTACAATTCCAGAGCTGCACTCAATTAAACAGGAATACGCAAAGCCTCTGCAAAGGAGAAAGAACCATGTTATCTTCTTCATCTGAAATTTTGTAAATAATACATGTTTAGATTTTAGTATGCAAATATCATGGTATAAAAATACCACAGGCTGTTGGGTTTGGGTGGTTTTTTTTGTTTTTTTAAGAACCAGTATCAACATATTCTTACCTTTTTATCTTCTTTAGACTTCCTAATACTGTGTGGAGGGCCAAATTTGTTCTGCATGCAAAACATCTTCTTAGACCATTCATTTTTATGAGATTTTAACTGCGGTTGACCAAAACTGCCATCGACTCTGTATCTGTCAGCTGGAATCTTACTCATTGGTGGGGGAAGAGTTCCACAGTTAACGCTTGACCAGCCGTCCGTAGAATCAGTGTACGACTCCTGGTCGCTCGCATTTCCATGCTGCCATTCTTGTAAAACATGCACTGGCAACCACCTTTGATTGCCTATGCCTGCAGCGTTTTTCTTTGATGGGGGTACTGAATTTCGGGAGGAAACCAGTGGAACTTCAATACGAGCAGAAGGACTTAAGTGTTTGCTTACATTTTGAGACTTATCATTCTGAATTACCTCTAAAGGAATGTTTCCTTCTTGTTCAGGACAGAAGCCATTCCAATGGGAAGCAGGCTGATTTTGTCCTCTTCCCACTGGATTTTCCCATATGCTGTTAGGAATGTGTTTACTCGGATTGCTCCCTAAATCAACCACCAGAACTCTATTATTCTTTTCTTCTTGGTTAAAATTTCCAATTCCACTATCACTATTACTGCTTGTACTATTATTCTGATGAGCATCTGCATCACCATCAAGAAAAGCCCTCGCACGCATTCCCTCAATCAATTCCCCCATATCCCTATACAGGACCGAAATAAACTGAAGAACAGGTAGAGATGATGTTGGAAACTCTAGACAGCCATTTGTGTCTGGATCTGCCGTACATTCCAGTCCAAAACGTCTTGCAACGCCCTGGTGAATTTTATGATGAAATAATTCAGGATCCACCATAAAAACATGGCAAGATGTCCTCAGAACCCCTTCATCTTCCTGAGCCAAGCTTGCATCATCATTTGTCTGCATTGTAACTAGCCCAAAGAATCTTCTATCATCGGGGCAAACAGCACTGAATGCCAGTTTCTCTGCAGGATATTCTGCCAGTATACCTGATTTGTCACTGCAGAGCTGAATACAGTCATGCATTATCTTCATCATGACCAGTGAATGGATTTTTTGTTCCGCCCGTAGACGTCTCATGCATCCACGAATAGCCTGCAAACTCTCATTTTCCAAATTTGAGGTTGTTGAAGGAAGTTCAATTGAGCCTAGGTAACCTACAATCATGGCAACATTTAAAATGTTTGCATCTAATCCAAAGTCTTCTGTGCTCTCCAGTCCCGTTCTAAAAACTGAATCGTCATACAGGACTTTGGATATTTCCTCCTTTGACAATAGGTTTGGATTGCTTACACTTTCATTGCCAGTTTCAAATTTAATAGCAGCAGAAATTGAAAACGATCTTTGTTTTGGTGCAGAATTATCTGAGTTACTAGCACAAAGAGTAGGATTCTCAAAGATCATGTTGAAAATGCCACCAGACTGCATTTCTTCAACAACTTTCTCTGCTCTGTTTATACCCAGAGCTTTAGAGTCAGGTTTGGGTTTCAGCCATCCCTTCCCATCATAAAAACCAACTTCTTCATCACTTGAACATGAATCTATATGACTAATCCCTTCAGCAATGACCATGTGCAGGACTCCAGAACATTTTCCTATAAGTTTCACTACATCTTCATGAGAGGCTTTTTTCACATTGATTTCATTAACTGCAAATATCTGATCTCCTGCTTTAAGTCCAACATAATCTGCAGGGCTTCCCTTCATAACACAACTAAGAACACAAGGAGCTTGTCCAGAAAGTGTAAACCCATAACCTGCTCTTCCTCTAGCAACTTCCACGCTTCTTATCCGAGGAGGAGCATGCATGTTGAGTCGACGTTTGACCGTTTCCCCTGGTCTATACATTTTGAGTTTTTTTCCTGAAATAGGAAAACTTAATTAGTCCAGTTTCTTGTCATGTTTCAAGAGTATCACTCCTTCATCTGACGAAGCTCTAAAGAAAGAAAGAAGAAAAATTAATTCTCAATTATATTTCAGTTCAGAAATACTGCTAGCAAACTCTACCAAAAACTATTGCTAAAGAATTAACACAACAGTCAAAACAATTTGAAAAGAACAGGTACCACAGTCTTCATTTTACTGAAAGAAAGAAAAAAAATTAATTCTCAATTATATTTCAGGTTTTAGTATTCCCTTTACTGTTCAGAAATACTGCTAGCAAACTCTACCAAAAACTATTGCTAAAGAATTAACACAACAGTCAAAACAATTTGAAAAGAACAGGTACCACAGTCTTCATTTTACTGATGAGAAAGCAGTAGCAAATGCAAATAAAGTGGCTGTCCAAAATGACAAAGTAACTGAATGACAAAGCACAGAACAGAGTCTAAGTCTTCGGATGTACAGTCAATGTTTTTATACTACAGCATGTTACATCTTCACCAATACCACCACGTTACCTAGCATTCAGTTAACTTCCGGCCACGTTACCTAGCATTCAGTCAACTTCTGGCTTACTGCACCATTGCAATAGCCAATGTTTTTATACTACAGCACGTTACATCTTCACCAATACCACCATGTTACCTAGCATTCAGTTAACTTCTGGCTTACTGCACCATTGCAATAGCACCACATTTTACAGCACAGTGAAAATCCTGGATGAATCTCATCTATCCTTTCCCAGCAACAAAAAAATTAGAGTTCAAGGGTATCTACTCAGCTGCAGCCTACCCCTCTTTATACTCAATGTACAGAAACAGGTACCAAATGTATCCATGCAAAACAGGTTAGAGAAATTACCCCTAGAGTTGCCCGTATCTCTCCACTGACTGACTGTGAAGGTAGCTTAAAATAAGTATCTCAGACTTCAACTTTTGCACATATATTTCAGACCATATCTCTCCACTGACTGACTGTGAAGGCAGCTTAAAATAAGTATCTCAAACTTCAACTTTTGCACATATATTTCAGACCCAAAGAGAACCAAAATCAGATTTACTCTGTTACACCAATTAATCTACTAAAAAATAATTTGTCAGAAAGCAAACACTATAAAAAAAAATGCATTTCAGTCATTCCAACATCCATGTGTTTTAGTTTAGCTTAAAAATTGAAAATAAAAAAAGAGGAAAAAAGAAGGAACCCCACAGGCTGCCAGTATTAATCTAGTCATGACTTTACAATTAAGATAAAGCAGCTTTATATAAAGAGCAAGAAATAGTAGATTTCATTACGTTTTGGTATTGACACTGAAGCCTAGATGTCTTGTTCTAATTACACTCAGGGAAATTCCATTGTTTTAGAAAGGTTTCCTCCACTAAGCAGGTTAAAATGCATTAAAAAAATTTTTAATACAAAGAATAGAGATGACAACTTGGTCAACTTTTGAAACTATCCCCTTGTTGTATGATATGAACTCTTACTTCCACAGGTCTGGAGGACGACTGACTGAAATAACTGGGGGACTACAACTACATAAAATTGCAATAAAGTCCATGTGAGCAAGTGAGAACTAATCTGAAAATAATTACTGCTCTGAGCTGGTCCACAGGCTTATTCATAACTCAGTCACACTGTAACACACTTGAAGTGTATAAGGTTCTTGAAAGCAAGTATCTTGTGTACATGGGCAAAATGAGGGCAACATTTTAGATAAACTGATACACATTAAAAAAAAAAATACATACACACCCCCACACACAGAGACACACATTTGTTTATCGTACCTAAAGTGTTAAATTACCGGTGTCCAACCCATTATTGCATGGACAAAAAATTACCAAGAAATCCTTTTGACATTGCTCTCAGCTACAGAAATAACAAAAAAACCCACACTCTAAATGTGATGCAATACACAGCACACTACTTTCACAGTATTTCCGCCCGGGACAGAACAAACTTCAAAAGTTCCACCAAAAAAAAAAAAACACCAACAACCACTAAAATACAATTTAAGATCAAAGTCTTAACTACTTAACTACATATGAGCTGTTGGATTACCAAATTTTAAAAACCACTGTCGTTTCTTGAATATTCTGCCTAATAGTCAACTACAGGATGTAATTCCCCTAGGACCCTTTCAAATCCTACATAGGACAGCCTTCATGATACTAGAAGACATTCACTTGGCTTTGCTTTTGGGTTTTACATTGTGTTTTTTTGAACAAATGGACATCAGGTTTTTATATCTCCATGGCGCAGCTGTGACTGTTCAATGTAGTATGGTTTTTGCAAATTGTTTTAATACAGCAATTATCTAGCTTCAGTAACAATAGTTCCCTTATAATTTGGGAAAATAACTTAGCTTTAAGTAGTAAAGAAACTTCACACTTAACCTTTGAATAGAAATCATAACATAAGAAACACTTTGCAAACATTTAACCAAACTCACACTTTGCTGTAAAAGACCCCTGTCAACTTGCACCCAGTCTTGTGCCTTAAACATAGATTGACCTTTTCCTAATGAGGCTAAACTTGGGAACCAAGAGATCACTGTGCATTCAGCTATCTCTAATTAGGTCTGGTACTTTCTGAGAATAATCATTCAACTTTTCAAGATATAGTTCTCCAATAAAAAAAAAAAAAACACACCAACGAATGTCCAACAGTAAATCAAAACCTGGTATCTATGAGTATGAATATATACATGTTTTAACTTGCCTTCTAGTATTTCTGTTCTTGATTGTCTGGAGAATAGCCTAATGTGTCCCTTGGGTACCCTCCAAAACTGTGCTGCTAACCTGGTCAACATAAAGCACTGTAGTATCTGGCACCTAAAAGTGTGCCACTAGCTTGAAAGAGGAAAGGAAACAAGAGAGTACTAGATTATATATATCTGATCAAAAAAAATACAATAAAAAGCAGTAGTTACAAAAAAAATTAAGAGTCAATATTGTAATGTTTAAGTGACTGATAAGAAAAACAAATTTTTCTAGCTACTTTTCTAATCTATAAAAAACACATAATGAAAATGTAGTTAGGCTGCTCTTGGGAAGAAGCAAACCCCAGCACTGTCTTACCTCATGATTCCACATTTGCTATGAGAGGATTCCTTTCAATCCTATTCACAAGTCAATTTACACATCAAGCATTTACTCCAGATGATAACCAGTGATAAGGGAACTTCATTCCAAAACCTGAGCATTATAAAAAACAAAGCAGCAGGCTGCTAATACATTACTTTTCTCTAATGATGAAGTTCCAGAGGTATGAAGACTTCCAGCTATTAATATATTTCTGTAATTTTGTCAGTATAAAGTTAGGAAGTAACTCAACATTAAAGGAGTTTTTCCTATTAATGTGTATACACACACACACAAAAAAAAAAAACACAACAAAGAAAAAACTGAGTTATATCACTGGAAAAGCCATCTCTTCCCTCCCTCAGTAGCTGAATATTATTGCGCATTTTTTGTGCCACTTACACCCATGACAAATAACAGCTCACTAAATTTATCTAGGAAACTTCCAAATGATAAATGTAGCTCTTCTGAAAGAGCCCTCAACATTTGAACATGTTCTACTGCAACAACAGTGGCACGACGGGCAAATGGAAAAATTATGAAAATGGCGTTCCTTATAACCAGAGAGATTCCAACAGAGATAGTTGAGTTACAAACTGTTAACAGACTAGTTCTAAACTAAATTATCAAATTATCTAATTGCCTAAATTTTCTTTTAATCCCTTGGCAGATTTGAAATCTGGAGCTAAAGAGATATGGCACAAACTTCCACAGTTTCAAAGTAATCATATGTCTGAATATCTTTTTCCTGTAATAAATTACAAAATGTGTAGTGTAACCAGTGAAACAAAGACATCATTTTAGTTGCACTGATATAAACCATTGTAGGTGTCTGCATGTTTACTAAAACATGAACTTGTTAGTGAACTATACAACCTGAGATAACTGTCACGAGTAGCCAAAGACAAAATTATTTGAGCTGTTGTAGAGGGCTATCAGGTCTCCCCTCAGCCTCCTCTTCAAAAAGAGGAGGTGTCTGCATGTTTACTAAACCATTGTAGGTGTCTGCATGTTTACTAAAACATGAACTTGTTAGTGAACTATACAACCTGAGATAACTGTCACGAGTAGCCAAAGACAAAATTATTTGAGCTGTTGATTTTCAGTTCAAATTAAATGCCGAATCTTACTGAGCCTACCAACAATATACTACTATATTACTTCTAATAATTATAGCACTGAATTTTATTAATTTGATAGCATAACTACATTCAGTCATATACAGTAGGTCAGAAAAGCCGTTACACCACAACACTACAGGTGGCCAAGCTTACTTTGACTTTCTGCTACCGCTAAGTATGATAAAGTAAGTCTTAAAGAAAAAAGTCTGTACAATACCAAAACACAGTAGTGAATATTAGTCAGGAGGATACGTGCATTTTATAGGAGAAAATAGGCCTACAAAAGCAGAATAATTTGCAACACATAGTAACTAAATCTTAAGCAAATTATATAGTTTTGTGATATTTAATATACTTGTTAAAAACACTGAAAATATAGAATTCATACTATTATTTGAAGAACATTGCAAATACAAAATTAAACTATGATTTCAGAAAGTTCATCAAAGTTTGTACTAATGCAGCTTAGTACTATGACACAGAACCAATACAGCTTAATAACTATAAAATATTTCACAGGATGTTTCAGACAGAAACACTAATATATACAAATTAAGAGTTGTTCAAGTATGTGAAATAACATAATTTGCCCATATACATCAGCTTTGTCACAGAACTGCAAAACAAAAAGAAACATTTGAGTTTTCTGCCAGCATACATTCTGGTCTACCATTTAAATCAATTATTTTGGGGGTATAAAACACCAAAAATACCAGTTACACTTGAGTTGTACTTTATTCCACAAACATTGCATCTCTTT